TTCTTCTCCCGCTCTTTCCTATGTTTCGCAAGATAGCAAGGGAATGCTACCAAGAACATTTGTGAACGAACGCCTTCAACTTTGTGGCACCAGAGTCTCCATAGGACATGAAAAATAATGGGAGGGATACCCGTTGAAATTCTGCGGCCGCTCTTCGTGGAAACTCTGACGTCATTGAAACTCTGAAAATGCAAGGGGTGTAGCCATTGAAACTCTGACACCATATTTTTTGCCATTAATTTAATACCCAGCTAGACTAGATGGCACATTCAACTGGAACTCACGGATGAAGCGACATTTATGATAGAAAATGAGGGCATCAGGGCATTTCACAGAATTAAGCAACTTTGCAGAAGTCGGAGGAAAAAAATCAGAAGTAAAACAAAATAGTATAATTGAACAGGCGGAGGCCAGCTGCGGGTGTGGTGATGGGTTGCGCACAAACCGGGAAAGGGGTATGAAGCGCCTGATTTGGACCCCATGATCTGACTATCACCAGCTACATGTGAATCCACAAAGGAAAAAGGACAAAAGTGAGACTTCTCTTACAGTTCAGATTTGAACTCCTGACCTATTTATCGACAGCCGCATGTGCATACCATTCTGCGTTTGAACTTAATGGGGGGAGGTCTCTCCGAAAACCATCCACCATCCCAAGAGACCCAAGTCTTCCTGTGGGGAATTAGGGGTTAGCAAAGTTTCCACTGATGTCATCAGGGCCGTCGCTTCTTTAGATTTCAGAACTTAAACTTATGGCCTGTCCCACCCAACCCCCACCACCCCCAGTTGTGTGTGCACGTGTATTTGTGTGTGTGTGTGCGTGTGTGTGTCTGTGTGCGTGTGTGTGTGTGTGTGTGTGTGTCTGTGTGCGTGTGTGTGTGTGTGCATGTCTTTTTTTTAACTGTTTTTACTGTTTTTTTATTTTTTTTAAATACATTTGAAGTTGTGTGTGTGTGTGATGATGTTTGTGAACACATATTGCGGACACCTCTGCACAGCAAAAACCATGCACCATACCATCACAACACTTCAGGAGGAGAATACGCATCTGAGTGGAGTCGAGTCCAAAGGCAAGGAAGGGAGAACAACGAAACACACAGGCCACAGACAACAAGACCACATATGCTGGAGGGCATGGGGGAGGAGGGAAGGCAGAACGCACAAGCAACAGACACGACAAGCAAGAAAGAAAAAAAAAAAAATGACCAAAGGCAGGCAAATCAGGAAAAGTGAAGTCCATAAAAGTTTCAAAGACCGAAAAAAATAAAAACTGATGATGAAAGATTGTTTCGTCGGAGTTGCACCGACTCATTAGGAGGCTGAACCCTCGACAATCTGCGGGAATCTCCGTATTTGATGGTTTGGGTCGAGAACCCTTTGACCCTCGTTGAAGGCAGACTGTCCCCAAGTGGAACATAGCAGCGGGCGGCGACCTTGTGGAGCACCAGGCAGCGCAGTAGAAGCAACATGGCTGCACAATGCCAAAAACAACTGCAAGGATCAAACACAGACGGCACGGCCAGCGGATAGGCAGCAAAGCAGCGGAGCAGCGAAGCGCAAGGCAACACCGACAACACAGCCACACCACACAACGAACACAGCAACTTGCAGAGAACCACATGCCAAGCAAGCGGGATAGGCAGCAAGGCAGCGGTGGAGCGCAGACGAGGCAGTCCACACATCCAACACAGAGCAAAGCAGCGCATGACCTACTCACATCATGATTGAACCCTGCGGACTGTTGGTTCCCACCACCCACTGATCCAGGGAGTCGCTCCGACGAGCATCCGTCATCACCTACAGGCAACACAGACATCCCGAACTGAGCGGCCCCCATAAGAGTGCAGTAGGCACTCCAAACGAGGAACCACCGACTTTTTGGCACTACTTAAGGGTGCTCAGTTTGGGTAAGCAAAAACACTTAGAAAAAGATCAGGGGGAGGACAGACAACAACAGGAAAACAGACAAACAGACGTGTGTGTGTGTGTCTTTTTTTTTTACTGTTTTTGATTTTTTTGAATACAAGTTCAAAATTTACAATAAAAAATATATAGTTTTTGTTTTCTTTTACTTTGCCTACAAAAATTGGTCTGTGAATAAGAGGAAAACGCACCCATTTCATCTTTTGTTTTTTGTTTTTTCTTTCTTTTCATGTTTTTGCTTTTTTTTTAATATAGCAAAACTCCAAATTGTAGATCTACAAGCCTATATTTTTTGCTTATTTTTTGCCCGAGAAAAAAAATCCCCAGGTTGCGGTGAGCCGCAATAAACGGGCGGTTCAAAGCCGTTTTACCGCGGTTTCAACAGCCGTTGAAAAATTCAATGCGTGGCGCGCGTTGAAAGAACCTCCAGCTACTCAGCTCCAGACTCTGGGACGCTACCTACCTTGAGCTGATCTCCCTGCTGGTCAGTAACAGCGACATTTGAGGAATATCTTGGACACAGGGCCGCAGGAGGGTGTCACTTGGCCGGAAATCAGCCAGCGGCTGTGGGCTATTGCATGCTGCATTCTCAACCCCCGAAAGAGAAAGACAAACCTCAAGAAGGGGAGCGGCTCGCCATAGCATGCCGCCGCGTTCTCAGCCCCCAAAAGACAAAGACAAACCTCAAGAAGGGGAGCGGCCCGGAGACCGGACACAGGTAGTGGCCTCTGAGCAGGGGACCCGGCCTCTGGGAGCGGTACAGGCTGAGTGTAGGGCAGAAACACGGTCTGCAGGACGGGTCAGGAGCAGGGGACTGGGGGTCTGATGCACAGCCTCAACGGAGCACAGTCGGGGTACAGGCACTACAGCCCCGCACAGATGTGCTAACGGAAGAACCATACAGGGGGGAGGCGCAGGATGAGTCATCAGACATCCCAGCAGGCCTGTCGAGCACGGGCGAGGGGCATGGTCCAGCAGATGACAACAGATGGAAAACATTACTGCGCCCCGACCCCCTGGACAGGGATCTGATTAGCAAGCGACAAAAAATGCGGCAGTTATTAGAATCCAGAAGGGGAGGGCAGTGATTATCCAAGGATGGCGTGCTGGTGCTACCGGTGAGAAAGGAGGACGGGCAATGGGAATTGGGACTGTCAGAGGCAGGCCAGGTTGCTTTGAAAGGCTTGGGGCTATTCACCCCCCGTTCTATGGACGGGACAAGATGCTGGAGGAGGAAGCACACAACTTTCTGAAGTGCAACTTCCAACCGGGGGTGCAGGCGATTAGGCTCAACGCGTATGGCACACACAGGGTGGCCCGCCGAGACCTGAGTGTTCCTTTCGTTCCTACATGAGATGCAGGCCTCTGCTGGTTTTCTCACAGCGCCTTGATCGATCTGCAGATCCTCAAGATTAAAGAAAACGAAACCATTCCGCTTTCTCGGACTGAAGATGACTTGTACGCGCCTTTCTCTACCGTTCCGGGAAACGGTTTGCTGCAGCAGGCGGGGAATCTGGACTCAGAACCATGGGTGAGGTTGTGAGGGTGTAAGAAAGATAACGCAGATGGGAGCGGTGGACACGATAACTTGACGAGCTCTATACGGCAGGGGGAGGATATAGTGCAAAGGGAAGAGGGAGGCAGACCTAGACCTTGGAACAATAAATGTCGATGGGCTGGCATACGCAAGTCCGGAAAAAAAATGATCTGGGGCCAACCGCGGGAAGTGGGGAGATGGGACTGGCCGGATGTGGTCTTTGTACAGGAAATTCATCTTCTGGACACGTCAGACCACAACCGCATGCAGCGGGTGCTTCCGGGCACATGCACTGCACCTTGGTAGTGCGGGTGTAGCCATTGGGCTGCCCCCAAGTATGAACGTGGAAGCAATTAATTGGGGCGCTGACCGAGAGGAGGGGAGATGTGTTTGTGTTCTCGCAATGCTTGAACTGGAAGTAGTGAGCATTGTCTGCATATACGGCCCCAGCAATGTGAGAGCCCGTGGCCACCTATACGAAGCCATCAAGGAGCAGATCTCTGTTGGGATTCCGGTCATAATGGCTGGTCATTTTATTGCAGCCCCTGATAGATGACTGGACAGGTGGTGCCTCCCATCCCTGTGCCATGTGTATATTGAGGAAGATGAACGTGTAATTCAAAACTTGTCTCGCGCCAAATCTGTATGACACCTACCGTCGCACACACCCGACCAAAAGGACCTCCTAGTGCCACCACAATAGCGGGGAACACGGTTAGACACTCTAGAACCCGCATAGACCTTATTCTAGCACCAGAAGAGCTAGACGGGGCACTTCAGATAGTGGTTGGGAGGTTTTCCCCTTTGGGCCTCGAGCACGCCATGTGCGTAGCCATGTTTGCCGTTCGGAAGAAACTGGATCAGGGGCACAGTTTGTAATGGGCCCAACTGTTGCACACACCCGACCAAAAGGACGTCCTCGTGCCGCCGTAATCGTGGAACGGTTAGACAGTCTAGACCCTGCATAGACCTTATTCTAGCACTAGAAGAGCTAGATGGGGCACTTCAGATAGCGGAGTTTTTCCCCTTTAGTCCGTATCCGGGCCTCAAGCTCGCCATGTGCTTAGCCATGTTTGCCTTTCGGAAGGAATTGGAGCAGGGGCCCAGTTTAGGGGACCAGTTTTCACAAACTGAACGCTTAGCAATGGACAGTTTTTGACAGAACATTAGAGAAATCTGGGCATATTGGCAAACCCAGAAGGAAACCATTGGGCACAAAGTCCTTTGGTCAAGCAATCTCCTGGCCTACGTGGCGCGAAAGTGGGCATGAAGTCGATCTTCAACAGCAGCTTCAGGACTTGCAACAGCAACAACAACAGCAGGATCAGTAATTGCATGAACAGTCGGCATAAAACAGAGAAGAATCGCAGAATGATCCGACACTTGAAATCGCATCATGCATTCAGAAAATCAAAGATCAGTTGCAGGAAAAAGCGATGCGATTTCAAGTGTAGGATCATCCTGGGATTGTTCTCTTTTTCCTGTTGATTGCTCATGTGGTTGCTGATCCTGCTGTTTGTTGGTGCTGTTGCATGTCTCGAAGCTGTTGTTGGAGATTGACTTCCTGCTGGTACTTTCTTGCCACCATTAGTTTAGAAAATTAGTTGCACTTTAGTGCCACGTAAGGCCATGTGATTGCTCAACCGAAGGACTTTCTGGGTTTGCCAATGTACCCACATTTCTCTAATATTCTGTAAAAACTGGCCATTGTTAAGTGTTCGCTTTGTTCTGAAAGGCAAACAGGGCTACGCACATGGCATGCTTGAGGCCCGGATACCATTGGCCTCGTGTACCTTGCTGGGTATGCCTCGCACATGCCACCTAGATATAGACCACTGGATCCCCCGATCGGCATTCAGCAGTCTGCCGATGTTCATAGGGGAGGGGACTGGAGGGGAGGTGCAGGGATTGGTCCTATTGGCACGGTCCCTGATGCTACC